ATTAGTGGCCATCTCTGGATCCAGTGACGCTTCCTTCAGGACCGGTCAGACTACCGCCTCCTTTAAAGGGGCAGGTACCCGACCCTCCCTCAGAGAAGCGTTAACCACTTCCAAGATCCAGATCCCAATCCTGTGCTTGGCATTGTTTATTAACCAAGATGGGCAAGGGTCCAATAGGCAAGTGGTGGGACGTACTCGTCCAAGCACCTCGTCCACATCATCAGGCTGCAATAACTGAACTTCATCCATTAATTTTGGACCAGACGGCGACAGTGGTATCTCCCCAGAAGCCTCTGAATCACTAGTAGAGTCTAGCTCGTGGCCCTCCTGTTCATGTTCCCTAGCCTCTGGTGTTGCGAAATGTCCTGCCATCAGCATTAGTAGCCATTGAGAGTGTCCTCCTCTAAGCATTGTGGCTAATCTACTTTTAAAACCATCCAAGCCATTGCTCATCACTACATCTTGCAGTCCACGCATCACATAAAGCAGTGCTTCCTTTAATCTGCCCTGGATTTCCCACCAGTGAGATAGCTCTAGGTTCTAGTATTAGGGAAGAGGAAGAAACTCTCCTCCACTTTCTCCACACCATGCATAATTTTGCACACTTCGTACTCACCATTTTTCTAAGCTAAACGATCCCAAAGGGTGTAACCTTAACTCATAGCGAAGTTGTTCCAGCCCTTTGATCACTCCGGTTGCCCTTTTCTTTACCTCACGGGCAGTCTGCACAGAGATGATAGTTATCATGTACTGGGGACTGGTAGCAAATTACAGTTCTCCAGGATATGGTAAAAGATGAGAACTTACCACACCATGGAGCATTTAGAAAGAAAAAAAAAGTCAGACAAAATTGTCAAGGGTCACCTTGTTATAGCTGCTTTATCACGTCAAAAGTGAATGAGAGACTTGGGCTTTAGATAATTGGGATTTGCATCAGGTGAATTCTATTGTGGCCCAAATTTGCATGTTATCTCTAAAGCCCAGTATTGCTATTTCAGCTGTTTCATTGTCACTGATTTTTTAATTTCTTTTCACTTGTGGAGCAAGGTAGGGGGCATGCCCAAAGCCCATCCAACGAGTCACGCAGCAAAGAAGGGAATAAAACGAGCAAAACACAGAGGCAGCCCAGGGAGAGAAATAGCAACGAACCCATTGGGAAGCATATTTTCTCACTCGAATGGTGAATGTGATCACAGATCCCTGGAAAAAAAAACCCTGAATGTTTAGTTACCTCACGAAAGTCTCATTCTCCCATTAATATAAACGAGGGTCCCTCTGCACCTTGTAGTCAATGTGTAACTCTGAACCATAACAATTCGGGAGAATTGAATCATCCTTCCAAATGAGTCTGCCACCCCATCTTGCATCATTGTCAGTTCTTTCTCTCAGAAAAACGGTATAGAAGGAAGACAGAGACCATGGAAGAAATATAGGAGAATGGTCTTAAAGCGGCAAGCACAGACAAAATGGAGGATGGCATGAGCAAAGCATGAGGGTGGGATGTAGAGGCCAAATCTCCTCCTAGCCAGGTGTTTAAGAAAGGCCTTGAATCTCGGAGTGCATCATTTCGCTTTTCATCCACCTCCACCCAGCTAACACCTTTGTCCAGGTGTCTGAACTACAAGCCTGTTGTTATCAGGCTAGCAAATCTCAGCGTCCGTTATAAATACTGTCTCTTCAGGACACATGCCTCATTAAAATATGCAAATAGCCTGGCCCTGGCACATGTCTCCTTGGGAAACGTCTGCTTTTAGCAGAAAGTAATCTCTTCTTGAGAAGCTGGATTTTTAGAGGTGGATATATCCAAATCGATATTGTAAATTCTGGTAGCATATAAGGGCTTGGTGAAGAGAAGAGGCATGGAACAGGGAGGAATACTTGGAGGCTCTGCCTTGATGTGCAAAAGTGCAGGCAGATTTCTCTCATTGTGTCCCAGGCATCTTTCAGTTTAAAAGAAAAGGCCTGATCTAGGCCCTCAGCAGTGCAAATCTGGACTCACTCACTCTATTGAGTTCAGTGCGATCTTCCATTGCAGCTGTCTGGGGCATATGAAAATTGGTGACAAGTTTCATTAATCTGGTTTAGCCTTGTCTCTCCTTATTAGCAGAACATTAAAGGGAGCAGGGAGATAAATAGATGGCAAGAATGATACTGTTCTGTTCTGGAGGTTCCTTGCCCTTCAGTCTACTTGATCTTGATATTTGGAAGAAGGGGTGTTTTTAATGAGCCAAACTCATGTCTTTAATAGAATCACATGACAGAAACCTTCCTGCACAGTTTTATTTCACCCTACAAGGGTAGTGGTGGCAATTTTGAATATTTCCTTAAGTTAAAAAAAATTATTTGGGATCAAGGATGATGCCTTGTATCAAGTCGGAAGTGTTGGTCCTGTGGTATGCCCAGGACTCCCTCCAGATGTGCTTGACTGCAATGCCAACTGGCATAGAAGATGGCTAGATATGGAGGTAGTTGTAATCCAAAACATCTTGAGGGCACCAGGCTAGGGAAGGCAAGTCTATGCTGACCAGAAGCATCTTTCCAGGATTTCAGGCAGGGCTCTTTCCTTGCCCAGGCTGGAGATGTCATGGATTGAACATGAGACCTTTTGTGTACAAAGCCCGCACCCTGTCACTGATCTGTGGACATTTCTCTTACTGCAGCTGCATCCAGAACATGTTCCTTCTTGTGCCTGGAACCAGTTTCCCTCTCCCACTGGAATTGGGCTACACCTAGCAAAGCCACTTGCCCCCCGCCCTTCTCTTCCTACCCTTTCCGTCACTGGGGAGAGAACATGGGGCAGGCAGATGCCTTGGGGAAGCTGCCATTTGAGCAAAGCATCCAGGCCTGCACTGGCAGCAGGAGAATTGCTCCTCCGGCCTCCAGCTTAGCCAGGTGTTTTCACTGTGGGAGAGATAACAGTGGGGGGTCTTCCATGGATTCTGCCACCAAGTCAGCCACTGAAGCAATTCTGCAAAGTGGCAAGCCAGATGAGCAACCTCTACAGATTGGCTTAAGCATGCAGACCAGAGGTTCGCTTCTCCTGCCTTTCCACATGTAGTAAACTAGTACTATAAGGTGAAACGTTAACTTCTTAAACTTAACTGTTGTGCCTTTTCATGCATCAAGGTTTTGGTTTTTTAAAGAATAACTATGCGGGATGTTCGGTCATGTGATTCCCTTGGAGCCAGAGGTTGCAGGATCCTTGAAGGCTCTGGCTTTGTGCTATGTGTAGATCAGCCAGATTTCGGTATGAACATAGCCTACTTGCAACTTCTACCGATAGCATGAACACATGTGTGGGGGGAGGGAGGGGGGGAGAGAGAGAGAGAGGAGATTAAGTATCTGCAGGACAGGCACAGGAATCTTTAAATTTAGATTCATACAGCAGAGCTCATGTTGATGAGACTGGATGAGTGTGATGGATTCAAGTACCCTTTTCCAGTCGGGGGGGACAGGTGAGATGCAATGAGGAAGCCAAGAGAGGAGTCTTTCCACTAGTATCTCAGCTGGCAGAGCAAGATCCTCATTCAGATGTAAGGATGCTGCAGCCAAGGAATTACAAGGCAACTTTACCAACTGGGGATGCATTTGGCAGCCTAGACAGGAGGCAGGAGCAGCCTTGGCTACCTGGCTCTCAGGCAAGCTGCTAAAGCTCGCCCCGCCCCACCAGCACCCTGCCGCATAATAATAGACAAGCTATAAAGCGCTCGAATTCTATCAGACTGTCACAAATATAGGCACAGTGTTTAAAACAGAGGAATACTCAGTTAAATGTAATGCATCTACTATTCCTTATTCTGTCTGGTGTGTTATGAACCAGCGGAATGCATAGTTTATACACAGGACGGAATTAACCTTCCAGCCCACAGGAACGAGGTCATTCATCTCTAGCGGCCTCATCGTATGCATAGCGACCATGTACAGAGGAAAGGTAGGGGCATGTCTAGACTAGAAGAAGACAAGAAGGAGGACTGGAAAGCAGCAGCTAGAGGGAGAAAGATAGAGGAGTCCTTCTGGGATGATCAAAGAGAGAAAATTTAAAAAAAACTGTTTTCTGGATCATGGGGTCCCTGTGCCCTCTCCCTGAAAAAAGATAGGCAGTATTGGGGAGATTATACCTAATAAAGTGATATGAAGTTTCCTAGAAGGAAGCTTAAGCTTGTAAATAGATAAGCATTTCATACTTTGCAAAATGTTCCATTATCTATATGTGAATTTTTCAAAGCATAAGCTTAAAAATTGCCCCATATGCTTAATCAATAGAACAGATTAAAGATTTAATGGGGCGTGTGAGAGAGTGGTGCAGAAGGCAGGCAAATGTGTGTGTTTTCTTATGTTTTGCTTCTCATATTTTACATGGTCAGCATTGCATCGCATTCTTCTTTTCTGCCTATAAAATATAGCTCCACGTTAGCCTCTGTTCTCCTTTTTCTTTTGCCTACCCCCCACTCACTTTTAAGTTTACTCATTCCTCAGTCATTTTAGGGTAGGCTCCCTCACCTGGTGCCCCCAAATATGTTGAACTACAACTGCCAGCATTCCATTGCCAACTGCTGGCTGGGGATGCTAGGAGCTGTACTCCCAACACATTCATGGGACACCAGGTTAGGGAAAGTTGGTCTATATCTAGGACACCTTAAGGGAGCACCACATTAAGAATGACATACATTCTTAGCAGGTTACCTGTGTTTTGCAACCATATTGCTGGTAAATTGGATGGTCTCTAGGAAGGGTTCTTTGTCCTTCAATTCAGCAGTGTTAAGCAATGGATTACTCATCTACTCTGCCACTTTGCCTTCAGATAGCTGCTAGAATGGGGATCATTTATGGCAGTCTACCTGGTTTTGTTGGTCAAAGGAGTCTTGGTGAGGCTTTTCTGACCTTTCCTTCCCTCTGCTCTTGTTCCCGGAGTGCTGGATGACCAACAAACTGTGCACACACTTGCTTAAGTCTCACTAACAGTGGCCCTGGGCTCCTTCCTTACCTTCCCTCCCTTGCAGATTTGGATGAGCCCATCCTCACTGTCCACCAAACCATCAGTGATGTCCGTGGCAGTTTCTACCAGGAGAAGACAGTCTTCCTTCGGTGCACAGTCAACTCCAATCCGCCAGCTCGCTTCATCTGGAGACGGGGTTCTGAGACCCTTTCCCACAGCCAGGACAATGGAGTGGACATCTACGAACCACTGTACACACAGGTGAGAGAGTTAGGTCTTTGTGTGCCTACCCTGAGGGCACTAGATTGCTGAAGGCTGCAGGGCAGAGTTGGAGTGTTGGAGATGCAACTCAGAAACTAGCCTTTCCAGAGGGAAGGAGGCAACTCGGGCCCTGCACCCAAGGCCTAGCACCTTGCTGCACTCTTACTTCTCGCTTGAAAGATGGTGCTGTGCATAGGAGTTTCCAGGAACTAGTTGCATGACAAGATGAGCAGGGGGATTCAGTGGAAGCAAGAAAAGAGTGTGATTAATTAATTCTGTCCTTCCTTCAAGGAGCTCAAGATGGCATGCAAGGTTCTTCCCCCTCTCCATGCTATGTTCACAATAATTCTCTGAGGTAGGTTTGCCAAATCGAAGTAACTGACCCCTGGTAGGGTCACCGGGTGTCCTGCTTTACAGTGAACATTTCTCTTTTTGAAGAACTGTGTCAGGACAGTCCTCTGTTTGAAGGTGGCCTCTATGACTAATTCAAAGAACAGTCAGAAAGGAGAGCAGGAACTTATCCTTCAGGAGTTATTACCTGGATGCTAGGCTGAGCAGACCCACAGGTCAGCTGATGCATCTTTCTCAGCATAGTGAGGTGAACTGCCTAAACTATGATTATGATTGCTAAATGCACATAGATATATATTAGCATATGCAAATGTTATGCACATTGGTGCCCTCTTATGTACTTTGCATTGGTGATTCATTTTCTCTATTTTATCAGTGCATAAGTGGCCACCCTCACTCAAGTTCCCCCAGTGAGCTTCCTGGAAGAATCACTCTGGACCAACCTTCCTCAACCTGGTGCCTTCCAGGTGCTTTTGGCTACCATCCCGTGCATTCCCAGCAGCGTGTCCCACTGTTGTATGTCGGGAATTGCATTCTAAAACACCTGGAGGACCCCAGGATAGGGAAGGCTGCTCTAATCATTTCACCACATAGAGTCTTAAAGCTGCTTCCCATGTATATTTATGAAAGACATACATGCATATTTTTCTGTATCCATGAATAAGTTTATTTCAGGTCTATGCATATGAGTATTGAAATCCACTTCTTTATGAAAAAGTATTCACATTCCTGGTATTTAATCTCCTCCTGCGTTGCTCAGCTACCAAAGTAACGCAGATCTTCCCTGGGACCAGCAGCTCTTGTACGGATGTTGAGCATCCAAAAAACATTAAGAGACACCACTTCCTTAAAAATTACTTTATTTTTAAAAGATCTTAAATAGAAATATTACACTATATAAGAGGTAAAGCGAATGCACAGCCGTAATTCCCTAAAGAGCTAGTGAGAGCTACAGATGAAAAGAAGATTTAAAGGAGCAAATTTTAAATGAAGATTCTTATTCTTCATCACCATCATTATTTCAATACATCCCAATAGCCAAAGCTCCCTGGGTGGCTTGCAAAAGAGGAGGAGGAAGGAAAAAGTAGTTGTAGCTGATCCTTCTGCATCCTGCCTTCTCTTTTTCTACTACTGTTCTCATGGCCAGGGGTAATCAATCTAAGGAATTTAGCTAGAGAGCATTTTTGGCAGTAGGAAATGGATTGCTTCAGTTTCAGGATGAAACAAAAGTTGATGATGATGATGATGATGATGATGATGATGACAACAGCAACAACAACAACGACTGTATATTCCACCATCTTTCTTCTTATGAGGAACCTTGGTTGGATTACATGGTTCCATTTTCTTCTCACAACAACAACAACCTTTCGTGGTAGTTTAGGCTGTGACTCCACGACTTACCCAAAATCACCCAGTGAGCTTCAATCGAGACTAGAACCTGGTTCTGCCAGGTCCCCAGTCTGGCACTCTACCCATGATACCACTTCGGCTCGATTGCTTTTTTATTCCCCTATTTATTTTCCTTTCTTTGAAATTCAGAATCTCTGTCTTAAATTTGAAATAAGCCTCTTTTGCACCACAGAAATATTTATTTCTTGTGCATCTCAGTTTTTCCTCTAGTGAGTCAAAGTTGTATGCCTGATCTTTCTCCTTTCCAGTTTATCCTCACAACAACCCTGTGAGGTAACTGGCTCAAACTCACATGGTGAGCTTCAAGATTGAATGGAGTCAATCCCAGTCCAAGACTCTCTAACCACTAAAGAACGGCTGACTCTCTGCTGTTCGTTCACTAACTTCTTTGCTGACTTCCTTCCTATTCAAGCCATTGTTCTCCCTGTCTTAACCCCACCTGAAAGACAGAGATCTGGCATGATCTAGTCATGTTTATACTTGGCTCTACAAACACTTTGTCAAAAGATAAAGAAGTGGCCTGGAGAACAGGCTGAAAGGTTCCAGCCTGAATCAGGGTGCAGTTCTCCTCTGCTTCCGAATGATGTCGAATAAGATTATTACCATACATCAAGAACCAGTTAGTGGGGTTTCAGAAGGACTAGAAAAGTTGCCTTAGGGAGTTGGCCTATGCGCCTTATATCCGCCAAAGGGCATGCGAAGAAAGATGCAGGGCTGTCCACTATTCTGTACTCCTGCTCCATGCCTCCTAAAGGTTTGTGGCTCATCTACCACTGGAATGACAATAACAAAGGAGGTGGCAAAATGACAAAGGTAGGAAAACCATAACATGACAGAGATAATCATTTGAGGAGAGCCACGTGCAGTTTGAGCTATGCAATGCCGCATCTCAGCACATGCCTTGGGTTTGCAATTCTCTGAAATCTACTACCTAGATTGTGGCATTAGACAAGTCTTTCCCAACCCGGTTCCTTCCAGATATGTTGGGATATGAATCCCATCATCTTTACCCAACTGGTGTGTGTGGGGGGGAGGGGTGGGGGATGATGGTACTTCAACAATTTTGGTCAGGATCACTTTGAATCATGTGCCAGAAAGCTGTTTCTGCACCTCCTCTCCTCCACCTCAAGCAGACAGTCTGTTTCATTAAAGGTGTCTGGGGAAAAAAACCATTTATTATACCCAGTGCGTTTCAGAAAGGGCTTTCCTTCCTTGGGGGCTGCTTATATTTCTCTAAATGTCTCACTACGGCTCTTCCCAGTGTTGCTTCTACCTTAAAATGCTCTCTCTTAAAATTTTCTCTTCTGTATTGGGACACTTAGGTACCTTCCCCTTTTGTTGTTTCTCTGTTTTATTAATGAACTGTCTGTTGTTTGCATAAATGATGTTTATTTCTTGGCATTGCTCAGATATGTAGCAATGAAGTACTAGTCAGATAACTCAAGTATCTATGTGGGTTTCCCTTCTTTTTCCGTCTATAAGAATGGATCAGCATTTCTCAGGCTTCCTGTGAGCTACAAATGTCTTAAATAATTTGTTACTGATTCATTTCCTTTGAATTTCTGGGTAGGTTTAGTAATTTCAGTCATGTTGCTCAAAGCAGCCCGGGAAATCATCATGCCTCCCAGACTTTGCTTTGTATGAACACTCATAGCTAATTTCAGTGCTTTGGTCAGGAGGACAACTAAGGAGCGTAAGGAAATCCACAAGAAGGGGGAAAGGAAAGGGCAGTTCTTCTGGGATAACCTCATCCCACACATCTATCTGCTCACCTCAGGCTGGATTCTGGGTGGGTTCTGGCTGAGTTTGATTTTAGCAGTGTGCCCCAGGCAGGCCCTCAGTTAATCTAGCCCAATACCTGGCTTATTCAAACTATTCTTCCTTGCATGCAGAGGAAACAGGCAGCTGGATGAAACAGGGTTGGATGCTAGGATGAAAGTGTAGGAGCAGATGTGCAATCAATTCACATTTAAGATTTGTGTGCTTGCAGCATAATATCCAAAGACAGGAAGTATACATCACACCTTGCATTGAGAAATATGTGTCACAGATGCACGTCGAATGTGTCTGTCTCTTTACAGGGGACAGGTACAAGTTCCTTTCTTGATTCTTACAGAGGAAGCAAGGGGAATGGATGGGCAAGATGCTAGCACAGTAACGCTCATATTTGTTGTATCGAGTCTAACGATATCGTGAGTTGACAGCTTAATTGGACTATTAAAACAGATAAAAATAAGTTAAGTGAGTGATGCAGCTCTGAAGGAGGAATTCTAGTGGTGCTCTGTAAGGCACCACTATAAGAAGGTGCCTTGTAAGGAAACCAGCTCTAGGAAGAATCGGCTGTTATCTTTCCTTCTCATTAGTGAGATGCTTTTCTGTCCTGGATTGATTGTTCATACATGTGCTTGCTACCTTACGGATAGACTGAGAGGGAACAAGGGGCCAGACCAATAGCCAGTTTGTTTAGCAGTGTATATGCTGTTGCAAAAAACGTGAACCAAAAGACTAACAGGAGAGGACTTTGTTGGTTGAGACACAGGACCACTGCAGGCCCTTGAAGAGTGAGAACAGTGTATCAGTGACAGCAACCTCATCTAAGTTCTTTTTTGAACACTCATTTCCTGGTTCTTTTTTTTGGCTCTGATAAAGCAAAAACTTTACCAGTCTCTTTTGAGATAGTTCTGTGCATTAGTTTTTGGTAACGCTTAAATTCTGATGGATCAGCATTTGGGGGTGGGGGCAGACTAGAAGTCACTTACCCCTTTGTCACTTCCTGGCTCTGGCATGAAACTTGGCTCATTGTTTTCCTCAGTAAATACTTTTCAGCCCTGCTTCTGCTTTCTGTTTGAGGCATACAGTGGGCTCAAAGGTTTTTACAGGCCAATTCTAAAGGGAAGAGTTGATCACAAGAAAAGCAAGCCACTTGGATTCATTCTTTGTTGCCTTCCTATAAGTAGAATGAGAGAGAAAAGGCTGGGGCTGCAATGTCACATTTGCCTATTCCCTCAGCATTGCGGCTGAGCGAGCTGGTGGGTTCCACTAACAAGTGAATTGTAGCCTTAATAGTTTAGACTTTGTAAACAGGTTTACAGACCAGGTGTCTGTACCTTTACCCAGCATTTACTGATCAATAAATTGGATGCATACACGCTATGCATATATCACTAGTTGACAGGCAGGCTGTAAATGCCACCGTCACGCAGCATAGCAACCATTCTCCAGGGAGATGTTTTCCACGGGGGCATTGGTCTCCTAGGTATTTATCTTGCTCATCCAGCTCGGATGCTACATGTTCCATTGCCTATTTCTATGTGAATGTCATGTTCTGACCTGTACAGTCAGCTCAGTATTGCTGGCTTTGCATGTAAATCAGCTTCATGAAGGAAAGTCCCTCGAACAGTTTTCCTTCTCGCCAAAAGGCAAATACCAGGCAAAAAACGCAGCATATCTCAAGGTTCCCAATTAACATGCCACATGAATAAAAATACTGATGTACCTTATGTAGCATTCCTGAGGTGGCAGTGTCCAAAAGTTCAGCAGAGTACTGTGAAAGATCTGTTAAATAGAAAGGGAAGTCAAGGGGACTGAAGTCTTATTGGAAAAGATAACCATGCAATGTAAAATCATTGTAAGCTCAGTGAGGCAGGAGGGATATTTTCAGTGATCTGAAAATCAAAAAGTGAAAACTTCTACAGGTGGAATAAGGTCCAGATTACTGAGAAGGATTGTTTTGGTTTAACACAAAGTTGTGACAGACTCAGAAGGGTAAAGGCAGAAAATAAGCTTTGTTGGTGACTGATAATAGAAACAAGAAGAAAATGTACAAGCACACTAAAAGACTGAAGACAAAGGACACCCTGGGTATCAACAGTCTTGCTAACCAAAGTGCATGCACAAGGAAGCCCAAATGGGGCCTTGTGGCATTCATCCAAGGATTCTGAAGGAATTAGAAGCGTACTATCAAAAATACTATCAAATAAAGCCAACACCAAGCTGATTTATGTCTAGAAGAGTAAACAGTAGTAGTATCTATCCCTTTTGTACAGGACCATCAACTTAATTCTGTATCCAGGAAGATAGTTGAGGCAATTTTTAATAACCATTTTTAATAACCTGAGAACAATGCTGAAAGCTGGCATTGTTTTCTTGTTATTTTTAATTATGATATTACAATGTATCAACTATGATAAGTTATATTAGCTAAAGTAAATAATGTTGTAGACAAGTAGAAACCAGTTGATTGGACATGGACATCCTCTCATCCCAGGGTTACCACTGTTGTGGGGGTGTATTCTGCCCTGTTCAATGGGGGGGGGGGTCAAGTGCCAGAAAAGTAAGAGATAAAGCTCTGGTTGCCCCCCAACCTCCCTTCCAACACACACAACCACAAAAAGCTCTATTTAACCCTATCTGCTTTAGTTGAATAATTATGAACCACCTCAAGGTGGACCCTTATTAATGAAAGATAAGAATATCAATGCTACTAGTCCTGATGTTGACATGCTACTTCCAGGATCAGAATCAGTAAGCCTGTGCTGGGGAACTTGGGTGGGAAGGTGCTGTTGCACTCCTCTTTGTGGGTTCCCTGTTGCCACCACGTGAACAGAAAGCTGGCTAGGTAGATCTGATTCGGCATGTTGGGTTCTACTCTGCCTCCTGTCCTGGCAGACGGTGCTTCCAGGTGGAGGGGCACTAGCAGGAACAGAAGCACAGCTATTTGGGTATTTCCTTCCTAATGGATTTCCTGAGGTAAGGGAAAAATGAAAGAGGTGGATGGAGAACATGGGCAGGTTATGACTCGTGGAAGATGCTACCCTCTGGACACCCCTCCGCCCTAAAATTCTGTGACACATGGTGGTGGTGGCGGTATAGAAGGCTCTCCTGAAAGCCACCCACACTGCTGGGATCCCACCCCAGAACCTGTTTGTACTTTCAGCCTGATTCTGGCCATTCTCAATGAAGGGTGCAATCCTAAGCTTCCAAGAAGGACCTCTGATCAGCTGTTGGATGTTGTGGCCTTCCCTTTCCTCTAGCAGAGAAGGGTATCTGCAGGTGGAGAAGAGGGATCACCACCAGAGATCCTCTTGTGGAAACAGGAAGCTTCTGCACAGCCACAGTTCTCCCTGTGTCAATGCACTCAAGCATTGACTCCCAAAATGGCAAACTTTGAAGGCGTTACAGCAGACCATGGATCTGCAGGAAATGTTCTTTAAAAGTGAGAAAAAGTTGCCTGCCTCATTTTCATCCCAAGTGGACTGAGCTAGCAGAGCTTTTAACTTGGCAGTCGATCTTGCACAAAATCACCTCCTTCTGCCAGCCAGGATTGTTCTGAAAGCATTCAACTATCTCATTACGCACATTCAGGTGTCACTCTCTTGAGATCCCCATAACTGCATTAAAACTGCTTCTGCGCTCTACAAACTTTGTTATGAACAGTTAGGTCAGCTCTAATTGCACAGAAAGATCCTTAGAGAAGAACATGTACATTTTTTCAGTAAATTTTTTGAGCCATGTAATAGACTCATTTATTTTTTTTTACCTAAATGATAAAACTACAGTAGTGTTGAAAATATTTGCAGATGCAATTTGTGGCACCTTCTGTAGGATCCCTGTCTTGTCTTCTTGCACCCCAATATCCACTGATACTCAGTAGAAATCTTTCATCTTTCTCAGGTAGCACTTTTGTCAAATTTGTGCTATGCAGGAATTTTGTAGTCAAATTTGTCCCATACTGTTGCTTGTGTTTATGAGCATATGGAAATAACGCCACAAGAACTTGGAAGTAACAGGCCTCCACCGAAACATGGGGTTCCAGTGATTTCATGATCACAGCTGCTCTTTTTGAGGCCCATTGTACCAGCAAGAATCTTGCTGATATATACCATGCTTAGTTCTGCACAATACTTTTCCATCTGTTCACAGGGCAAGTAACCCTGAGGCAAGCAAACATGATAGGATCACAAGGAGGAAACTTGGCAGCACTGTCGTGTTTGTGAGCCAGTCCTTAAAATCTTCAGCAAAAGAACTGTCTGGGTCACTTCAAGCACTTGCAGATTCAAGCAGCTCATATCACCTCTCTCATCCTATTTCCTTTCAAATCCTCCAGGGAGAAACCAAAGTCCTGAAGCTGAAAAATCTGCGACCTCAAGACTATGCCAGTTACACCTGTCAGGTGTCTGTCAGAAATGTATGTGGCATTCCTGATAAATCAATCACCTTCGAACTCACCAACACAACAGGTGAGTCAGAGAGCTCTCAGCAGGTAAATGTCATTAGGAAATGCCTTTCAGCATAAGAGTCCCATCCCTTTAGATTGGTAGGAGGCACCCTGAAGGTTTCTTTCTCCTCAGAGGTAAAGCTGGCAGGGCAGGGATTTCTGAGAAGGATCTCAGGCTCTTTCGTGAGCCCAGTTTTGGATGTTCCAACTCGCTGAGCTGCTTCAGCAAGAGGGTGTTTTGAGTACAGAGTGTTCTATCTGAAGGGGCTGCAGGGGTTGGTTGGTTGATTGATGCCTGTCTCTACTTGTGACAGGGAGTGAAAGAGTAGCTCCCTTACTGGTTCACTCAGGGATTCTGCTCCACTGCTGACATCCTTCGGCTCAAGATGGAGTGACTTGTCAATTTCCAAGCTGTATCACTTGCAGAAGTACTCGGGTATAAGTCCATTCTGTTTCCATAATCTATAATTTATTTAGGGTACAATCCTGTGCATATTTAGACAGAAAATAATTGTATAACTCCTGCAGACTGGGAGTTGGCTGGGTCATGCTGGAAAGTGTAGGATTTTAACATGGATAGCATCACACTTACAGATTTAAATCCACGTGAAAATGCATATTGAAATGGTAGTTATATATTCTCACTCAAACTGTACATTTCTATACATATTTTCTCTCATTTTTCACCATATTTTGTTAAATTTTGAACCAAGAACCACACAGAAACATCCAGAAAGTGCAAATTCCAGAAGATACTAAGTCCTTACCCACATGCATAGGTCTATAACCTACAGATGATATCAGAATTTGCGAAAATCAGGCTGATTGCCCATGTTTGGGATTAGGCAGTTGTAGGGAGATCTGTTTAGTGCAGTCAATATCCGAGATAAATTGAGTTCCCAGTTAGAGTATCTATTTTATAATTTTTAGTTCTCCCTGTTTGCAAGAACTGTCTTATTGTGAGTTATCCACTGGGACACCTCACATGGAAGTCAGTCCTGCTAGGAGAAAGGGGCTTGAAGAAGGGAAATCTGCAGCTGCCAGAGAAGAGTCCACACCCCACAGTTTAACACCCCCATGCACCTACCCCTATTACTTTTAAACTCCAGCCTCACTTCTGTGTGGAGCCAGGGCTGGTTTCATCAAATGGTCTTGCTAGGATCAAGTGGGTGCTGGAGTCTTGGGCAGAGGGCTTCCCTGGCTTTGCAACTTGTAGTCCTTTAAGCAGGGATGCCTGGCAGGAGGCTGGACATGAGTCATGCCACCCAGAGTTACAAGTCCTTTTGTTTTGGAAGGAAGAACAATGGCTTTTTTGCCTAACGACTGGTATACGTCTTAGAGAGTATTAAAAATAAAACCAGTGTAACTAATGCTTTTACAAGCTACATGTCATTGTTTGCACTTAATGTAGCATTGAGTGGATCCAACCGGTGACCTTTGGATGGTACCACATCTTTCCCCCTCTGAAATGATTTCTCTGATGCATGCATTTGGCAAAAGGGCCTTATCCATGCAAAACATGTGCTGTACCAGTGAACTGTGCCCCCTTGGGAATGGATGGCTGGGATAAGCCTTTAGGAGCTGCAGCAGATAATAAATTGAACGCAACAAGGAGATGCTGTAGCCGGAAAGGTGAAAAGGCCAATGCATCCTCTCCAAGATATATGCAGACATGGTGCCACCCAACATAACAATAGTAAGACCTCATGCACCATGTTCACAACTGGGGCTTTCTAGCCAAAGACGTTGACAGATTGGGAAAGTTCACAGCGGAGGATGCTGTGCAGAGGATGCAGGGGATAAAGATGCAGAGGATGGTGTGGGTGTTTATACATGCGCGTTTGTGCTGAAAGAGACTTAAAAAACAAGCCTTGAGAGCTAGCACAGAGTAAGGGGTACGAGAGCAAGCTGTGCACCAGGACGCCGTAACAGCAAAACGTGAGAAAGAGCTGCACAGCTGTGAGAAAAGTTCAGCTGAGGAACCAGCTGACTTGGGCATTTCTTCCCTTCCAGATGTGAAACCAAAAATTGATCAGACATGCTTAAGGTACATGGCAGGAAGTCTTTGCAGCTCGGAGAGGGCACACTTCTAGACACATTGTTGTAGCAGCTAAATTCATTCATTCACTCATTCATTCGATTTATATCCTACCTCATTAGCCAGGAAGCCTCCTTGCCTTTATCTGAAATAATGGCTGCCACTTTGCAGGTGCAAAAGCCCTTTCAGCCTGCGTCTTGAATTCCAATTTGGGGACATTTTTTTTGAGGGGGGACTGCATTCCAGGGTAGGTGGAGCCAAAGGCAAAATTGGGGGCCTAAATGAAAAATACCAACATATTGCAGCATATAGCTCTTACTGCTGGTAACTAAGCCTTAGGAGAGGCATTTCAACCTGCATAAAATCTGGGAAAACAAAAGCTCGGTGGTTAGGAGAAAGCATGTAGGGGCATCTGAGGAGCTTCAGGAGGGTGGGATTTGACCCCAAATCCTGGGTTCTGCACTAACCCACAAGAAGCATCCTCTAGCTTTGAATTCAAGTAGAAAAACAGCTTTTGCTGCTTTTAAGCCCCGTATCTGTGAATACAGGAGAGTGTCCCTTAAGGGTTGATGGATCTCTGTGCTTTTGGGGATGCACAATTTTCCCTTGGTAGTCTTGCTGTACGGTTGCAAGGTGAAAAAGGTCAGCTCCAGGACTGTGGAATGCCCAGGATACTGGGCACCAGGAGGACGCAGCTATGGGGCAGTAAAGGATGCTTTTTCTCCCTTGGTTTCAGAAATGCTAAGCAGCACAGCTGGGGAATTCTCCTGCAGTTGCACTGCAGCAAATTGGACTTCAAAGGGAATTGAAAGCGACTCTTTGTTTTTATTGGTGCTCCCCCCATTTCCACAGCAGACTTCGCCAGCAAGTTTTCTGAGCAGAGAACAAAGGGAATCGCCACAGGTTACAAATAAATGAGATTCATCTCCTGCATAACAATGGCTGCATATTGTTAGCCTCCATCCTCTGGCTAGGGGAGGATGTGAATGGAGGTCGGCCCCAGAGCAGAGCCTGGCTTCTGTGCTGTTTAGCCAGAGTGGCATTGCCGGGAGAGACGCTACTGGCACTTTTACAAGGTGCAGGTGGCACTTTTACAGGTTCTTTCCCTCCCAGTTATACATATAAACCAGCCACCCCCAGGCAGAGCCAGTTCCATCAGGTCACATTTTCTAACATTACTGAGAAAAATAAAATAAAATGTTGCTGCTCAGCAGGATTTTAGCTATTAAGGCCGAGAAACTCACATAAAATAAAAAATATAATTCTGAATTGTTGTCTAAACCAAAGCTTCAGAGACATCTTTTTCCCCCTTTCATAGCAAGACCTGTTATATTAAGAAAAATGCTACTTTTGAGCCTCTTCAAGGGCAAAAGCCTATGGCTTTTGCATTGCTGCCATAAACTGTGTTTGATTCCATACTGGTCCTTGGAAATTGAGGCCATTTGTAGCCCAGTGTTGGGAAGGAAAGTGGGAAATCATGGAAAGAACCAACAATTCAGTGAAAAGCAGGAGAAATACCACAGTAGTGATGTTTCAAGTTGCAAGGGATCAGTGCCAAGACCAAATGTCCTGACTAAGGTGCATTTCTTAGTCTCGTCATCATGCATTGCTCATGCATGAAGTGAGCATATGTTCCCCCTATATATTATACATTATGAAAACTTTCAGTTCGTGGATACAAGACCTCAGGCTGCGTCCATCCCTCCTGGGATTCCAGTTCACCCTCTCCAGTTTGCCAGGGGTCATGCCCAGTTCCCCTGGCTCAGTCCCCTTTCCCCTATCCATGACCATTTGGTGTTTCCCAGTTGAAATGCCTCTCCTGCAGCTTAGTTATTGCCAGTAAGAGCTGGAAACTACAATATGCTGATATTTTGACTCCTTCTTTCTGCTTTTAGCCTTCCCCATCACTGGGCTGCGGTCCTCCAAGTCTCCAAAACAGAATTCAGGCCTCGGGCTGAAAGGGTACCATGACACTTCTTTAAATGCTCCACTGTAGCTATTGACTACATTTGTGTGCCATGCGACAGCAAAACGTTCTCCACACAGCTTCTGCTAAAAGTAAAACCATTCAAAAATAAATAAAGCCAATAACTGTGCCATCTAAGAACAGCATAAAACCAGCAACAGGGAATAAAACAATATAATAAAAACTGAGAAAAGCAGCACAATTTTACAGATCTTAACACTTCTTAACTATCACTGAGTCATCAACAATATGAAGATCTAAAAAGTTTAAAAGCCTGGAAATACAATGCATGCACCGCTGTCCACGGATAATTTTTTTTGTGGTATAGTTTCTTCTGCTATGTTGGTGGAAATCACCATTCAAATGAAGCCTCGTGCAAACAATACTGTGCACTTACATGCAAAAACCATCCACAGTTGCAGAGGTCCTAAGATGTGTCCAAACCCATCTATAAGCATCTTCTCAGGCAAAGCAGGTCCAGTAGCTTCAGGTTATTCTAGCATTTCCATTCCGTACCTTTTAGCATCCTCGAACAGTATAGTGCTGATTTAGAGATCAATTTCTCTACCAACAATGTAGGAGTTTGTATCATCTTTCAAAATCTAAAAACACTCTTAAATGAAATGAGACTAACAAAAAGAAGCAGAAGAAGCGAGTGCAACGCTTGACACACGTACCACGGCTCAGCTACGTGGAACCTCTTTGAGATACCGCTTGTGTTTATACATCGTTAAATGAGGGGGTTTTTGTTCTGCAGCAGCGCATGACAGACTTCAATCTCTCCTGTTTCCAGCTTCTCTGCACATTCCAGGTGTAGATTTGTGTATATTACACACACACACAGTTTTCTCCTGCAAGTGGCAGCAAGCAAACCTTGCTAGCGTTCAGCTGAGATTGGAGACAAGGAAGGAGCTGTCTTGCTAATGCCAGCACCAGCAGAGGAAACCCCGAGCAGGACACCACGCTTCTTTTTGTGGCTGCAGATGAAGTGAGCCTGGCAGGCTGCTTGAAGTGGTTTGTCAGGGGTGCATGAACCCCCAGGAGAGACACATGTTTCAGTGTATAGGTAGGACTCAGCCCAAAGGCCCACCCCACTTCACCATCCCATTTGTGAGCAATGAACTGCATTGCTGGGGAAATTATGTGTGTATGCTCACTAGCAGCTTTTAACAGGCATTGGCGCCCACCTTGCTCCACCTTTCCCCCACCAAACAGAGGCTGCCAGAAGAGGTATGGCAATGGCAGAGGTGAGCACACACACAGTCAAACCCTCCCCTCTGGGCTTTCACTGCCTCCCCTGTCCACCCACCCCTCTGCAGTCCAAAATCTGAGCTGAAAGTTTGAGCTGGAAACATTCGTCCTAGCGCTAGCACAGACCCCGAGAACCTTGCCGAAAGGAGGATGCCTCACTTGTTGCTTTAGTTGGCCAGTAAATGGGGGGAACTGGTTTCTGAAGTGCTCCAGATATGACAATTAGGCTGGATGTGCAGAAACCAGAATGGCTGTAAAATGCATCTGTTGCTGTCCCTTTACAGGGAGAAGAGAGCCACCCTCCCACCTTTAGTCTGCATGAGCTGTAACTCAGAAATTCAAGGCAAACCCAGGACAGCTCATTAACACAGGGTCCAAGGAGAGGAGATGGCAGAAATAATGATGTCGTTAAATCAAGCTTTATGAATATGTAACGACACCTTATTTTGCATTATTACGGCTGTTACTTAAAACATCCTCTCTGCTTTTGTACCACTGGCTGTTGCTTTCCAAGTCTCTGATGGCCCCAACAAGGGGCTTTAAAGGGCCTTTTGCGAGATTAGTCAAAAAACACAGAGAAAAGCCTTTTGGATCTGTGTCTGGGGATGTGGGAGAGACAAGGAATTAATCAGAAGGTTAAGCATTCTAAAGCAGAGGAGCTGCCCATTCATAATGCGACTCTTTACATAAAGGGGAGGCTCAAGGATTTGCGAATGAGGTCAGAGCTGGGGTTTTGATATGTGCACAGGGCAAGGGAATGGGCCAGAGAGCACCAATTACATGGAATGTGGAGTGGGGAAGATGTTAACGAGCTAAAGCAGTTCTTCTCTTTCATGACGAGGATCTGAGCTAGTGAGAATTAAATCTGCAACTCAAGAGCTTTTGCTGTCATGAGTCTGCTTTGAGAAGTAAAATTAGATTGGAGAAGGGGGTTGGAAAGGGCCATTGCTCACAAAGTAAGACTGGAAACTTTTACTCATGTCCCCTTGCACATGGAAGGATGACGGGTGGTCCAAGGGTGCACCACTCCTATTTTATAATGCCCAACCATGAGTTGGCATCATGCCTGGCTGAAGATTGTCTGTCCAGAAATGCAGGACTAGCTACACCAGCCTTTCCCAAACTGGCATCTTCCAGTTGTGTTGAATTAGAACTCCCATCATCCCCAGCCATGGTGGCCAGTGGCAGTGCTGGTGGAAAGATAGGACTTGTTGTGGCGTGCACTTGGTACAGAGAGAGCTCTACTGATGAAGACTTCATGTGGCTTCCCATGGGAAAGGTTGTGAACTCCTGCTCAATCTTGGAGCAATAACTTCACCCTGCTCTACTGCTGGATAGAGTTGAACCCTCCAATGCGATTCTGCTAAGGGGGAGAGCTTGCAGGAGCACTTGGATTCCCCATGTGGAAAAAATCCAATCCTTTTTCCAAGTTAGTCCAAGGAGCTAGTCCATATTATCCCCTTCATCCATAGAAACATGTCCCACCAACGCCAGCTCCTCAAACCACACGTTCCCTTGTTATAGGCAAGAACCACAGCAGAGGGCCATGATGCTATGAACAAGAGCATTTCCCCTCTCCCTTCTTCTCCAACTCTCCCGTATGCTGATTGGTGATGTGTGTTTTTTCCCAAGGGTTTCTGTCATTGCACCAGCCATCTTTCCCATGCTCCACCAGTGCTCCACTTTTCCAGCTCAGTGTATCGAAGCACTGGGGAAGCAGGGGCAAGGGCGAGAGGATCCCCCTCCCCATGCACTGTGCACTCTGTGCACAAGAGAGAGCAAGAAAGTATGGTTCACGAGCAGGTAGGAGGTGTTCCTGGGGACAGCAGCAGGGAAGAGAACAGGGGAATCCGTCTTCAGCCCAGATTTTGATTTGGGGTGGGCAAGCACTCAGGGTCTTTACAAACTTGCCTTTCCTCTGCAGGGGGCTTGTTGAGCTTTGAAGTTCATTTCCCTGCCTCTCTTGAGTTTGGCCAGCCAGCATCCTTATGGTTGCAGGATGGTAAAACAGTAGTAAAACAGGAGTAAATTGCCAGTACATTTACTGGGTAAATCCTACAAGCACTCCCCATGCTCAGAAAGCATCTTGGAGTTGTAACCAACAAGGCAAAAGGGAGGCTGGAAAGCAATATTAACTTGACTACAGTTGCAAGGCCATCTCCTCCCTGTTCTTGTGCAAACTGATGGAGAAAACATAAACAAATCCTTTTCAGTGCAGTCATGACACACATTTCCAACCTCATTCTGGAAATGATTCAACTGATCGTGCTTAATGGGTTCCCAGGTCTGACTCATCATATTGGTAGACTAACCTTTTCCTGCAAGAGCCAAGAGCCTCCCAGAGATTAATTTCTCTCCCTCTCTCCCCCTCCCCACCTTCCTTTCAGCTCCACCAGCTCTAAAGCTGTCTGTGAATGAGACCTTGGTGGTGAACCCAGGAGATAACGTCACCATACAGTGCTCATTAACTGGCGGCGACCCCTTGCCCCAGGTGTTCTGGTCACACTCGCCCAGCCCTCTGCCCCGCCACAGCCTGGTTAAAGGGGGCAACCTCACCATCTGGGGCATCAGCGTGGAGGATTCGGGATACTACAACTGTACAGCTATCAACAACGTGGGAAACCCAGCCAAGAAGACAGTGAATCTGTTGGTGCGATGTACGTCCTTCTGCAGACCTGGTTGAGGATCAACCCTGGATTCCTAGTGCTCTCTCTTGGTCTGGGTTGATTCTGGAATCAACTATGAAGCTGGCACTATGGGACAGAGAAGAGATTGCCTAAGCTTGTCTCTTGCCTAGCACTGCTTACTTCCCTCAGAACTGATGTTTAGCCCTCTTACTCTTCCCATTCTGTTTCCAACACAAACACAGTTTCAGCCCAAGTACCAGACACGTTATTTCACAGATAATCCTTAAGCCACTGCTGCAATTCTTACAGCCCTCTTGTTCATCTCCTGTTCTCCTTATAGTCACCTCTATAGGGCTTTGGTTGCTTGTTTTTACTAGGGAGGAGTGAATGGGCAATGCTCAAGATCTCCAGCATTCTCCAAATCTTGTCCCAAAGCTTCTTTAGGGCCCAGGCCCATTTGTATTTACAATTGCTCCTTGCTCAGTGTGAATGGGGAACTTCTGCAAATTCCTCAGCTTGTGCAGCTTTCCTCCATAGCCTAAAGCAGGGCCGATTCAGACCACAGAGGAAATGTCCACAAAATGGGATATTTGTGCAAAACAAACTGACTCAGGACCAAGGTGAATGCAAGCACAAGTTCAAGAATTTACCAATATTTTCAGTGCTTGGGCTCACATTCAGAGCTTCAGGCAGGACATGCTTGCATGTCTCATGAACAAAAATGAAATTCTCATACACGCCTAGTTTTTAATTTGAAAACAGCAGCTGCAGGGGTCCTGCCCAGAATCAGGGCCAGAATTCAGGAGAGAGATCGGTCTGTTGCACCAGCACAGTAATGACAATGAAAAAGAGCCCCATCACCCTGCTTCATCGTTCACTCACCGCTCCCCAGTCAAAATAAGCAACCAAAGCCCTATTGAGATGGGTGCAAGGAGAACGGGACAGACAGTAGGCACCTTTCAAATTTTGGAAGAGTTCTGGGTGCTGTCACAAAAGGATTGCCACTGAGGCTTGGCCAGTCACAAAACATCCGTTTTCCAAAAAACAAGATGGTAACTTGTCCAAGTACCTAAGTATAAGGCAGAGGTGGTATCAGAGGTTTAACACACAGAACCAGATTTCAATCCAGATAACTCTGCTGGAGGGAAGCCCTTCAGTTTGTAACATACTCAGCCTCCCAGCTTTAGAAGTGGAATGAAAAGGTATTAGCAAGCAATGTAAAAATTAGCAGGGGCAGGAAGCCAGGCAGGTTCCAAGAGAGATGTCTGGCACCCCCGGCATATCTCCACGGAACGTATTGTTTGGCCCATAAAGATGCAAAGCATTGCTGCCTTCAGTTTGATAGGACACAAGCTGTTGCTGCAGGTAATGCCTTTATTCATGAATTTGGTATTTGTATCTCTTCCAGCCATGAAAAATGCTACATTCCAAATTACTCCTGATGTGATCAAAGAGAGTGAGACCATCCAGCTCGGGCAGGACCTGAAGCTCTCCTGCCACGTGGATGCCGTCCCACAAGAAAAGGTTTCCTACTCCTGGTTCAAGAATGGGAAGTTGGCCAAGCTCTCTGATCGGCTAGTTGTCATCCGGAATGATCCAGAACTTCCACCAGTGACAAGCAGCTTGGAGATAATTGACCTCCGCTTCACAGACTATGGCACGTACCTGTGTGTGGCTTCCTTCCAAGGGGCACCAATCCCCGACCTCAGTGTTGAGGTGAACATTTCCTCTGAAACAGGTGAGCTCTGTTATTCCTGCACAAGCTTGACTGATGGCAGATGCACATTTGAGTTACTTATTTATTTGTTTATTTATTAAAACATTTCTATGCCACCCCATTCGCCGAAGCCTCGGGGTGGCTCACAACATAAAATTAAAATACAAGAAATACAAGTTAAAGGGTTTCATACCCTTACCAAAAATCTTCAGAAAGAATTTCAGAAACACAGTGCTGATTATTACAAAGCATTTGTATCCCACCTTTTTCCTTTTGCAAGGAAACCCAAGGCAGCTTACACAGACTGCCTCCACTCCATTTTATCACCACGAGAGCCCTGTGCTTGGCTGAGAGTCCATGGCTGGCCCAAAGTCACCCAGTGAGCTTCATGACTAAATGGGGACTAGAACTCAGAATGCCCAGGTCCCCAGGCCTGTACTTCAAGCACCACGCCACGCTGGCTCTCTGGGGATCAAAGCAGCAAAGCTGCAAGTGTTATCAATTAGGTGGGTACATTGACTTTAATCACAGGATAAAATCATCTGCCTGATTAATTTGAAGGACTAGGACTGAATGGCACACTCGCTTGCAGCTTCTTTGCTCTCATTCCAAATTTATGGCAATCAACTTTGAGGAAGGGGTTTCTATCAATTCCAGCCTTCCTCAGTCTAGTGCCCTAAAGACTACAGCACCTGTCATTCCCCATCAGCATGACTATTGGGGATGCTGGGAGTTGTAGTCAAACACATTTGGAAGACACTGGGTTGAGGAAGGAAGATTCACTCTAAGTATAAAGCTAAGAGATAGTTCTGGTGCTTTCTCCTTCTGGATGAAGGTGCTATGGAAAAAACACATGGTATAGTAAGTACAGCTTGGATTGTATCACTTCACATTAAAGACAAGGGATCTTTTGTGTATATGCTCCCCACATAAATAAAAAAAGAAATCTGCATATACAATGTCAGGGAGTTCCAACCTAGATCATTTAGTTCTGCATATTGGTGCCATGATAGAGATGCATTCTGGTTCAGAGTCAATCCCAACACAATCCCCCTTCCCCCAGTTGGTAAGCCATAGAAAAAGGGCTTCCATTTGCACCAGTGGGATCTTTCCCCCCCAGGACTACTAATAGCATGAGTGTAGGGATAGCAGGGTTGATTTTAATTGGGATTGTGGCTGGGGAGGGAAGGGTTAAACTTGTGGTCCTGTTGAAAATCGCCACCCTATGCAGGTGTTAATTTTTCTAAAAATCCTGATGTGGTTTCTAATGACTCAATTAGTGACTTGTCTAGTTCAACCCAAAGAGTTGAGTGCTATATAAATCTAATTCTCACATGAATAAATAAGAAGAGCATAGTTAATATAGCTAGAGAATAGGGCACTTCAAAGCATCTTTGCCACAAATGTCATGATGAGAATTACAGCTGTATGCTCAGGGTGGGGTTTCTAGATGAGGGCCTTTGACAGGCCTTTCATTGCCACTGCCATGTGCAACTTTCGGCGTAGTCAGTGGGCAGAATTATACTGAACTGCGAGACTCTCAGAATAGTCACTGGACTGCATTAGCAATCTAGGGACATTTTTCCACAGTGGCAAGAACTCTGGTGTCTTCTCACCTTAAAAGTAAGCCCAGAAAGTATCGAGATGGCTGTCCGCCGTAGGAGGTCCTGGACTTTAATTAAAAATGCCTCGAGTACAATTTACACATTTTTCTCATGGCGAAAATTGTCTCCTGCCAGGTGAGCGTCTACTGCCAGTGCCGAGCAGTGAGGGTGCAGCTCTGCCTTCACACCATTGTAGAGAGGGTCTGATGAGATTCCACAGGAGACCTGCAAATTGAAAATTCACCTTATTGCCTAGTGTGGCAGCGGCTGGAGATGGCAGCAGCTAAAACTGCCTAAATACACTCTTAAGGCAGCTATGTACTCTTCTTGTCTGTGATTAAAATTATCACACCCTCCCCGAGTCCTCTTACATATATAGGTCACACCGAGCCGTTACTAGGAGTGCAGGTTAAAATGACTTCAGAACTTTTTGCTTCCCCTAAAGAGAATTAATACAAAGCCTTTTGATATGTGACAACAGTGGTATATATGAAAGCGTGCGAAGAGAGAGCACTCGAAGAAGCAGGAGCCATCCCGTTCCTTTCCACTGTGGCGGGTGATCCATCTCTGCGCTTTGGAAAGACCGGCTCAGGCAGAGAGGAAGAAATTGGTACCTGTGATGGGGACTGGACCAGAGGCAGTCTTGTCCAAGTATCATAGAATCACAGAATAGCAGAGTTGGAAGGGGCCATGAAGGCCATCGAGTCCAGCCCCCTGCTGTTGCAGGACACCATGTCACACCATCCCACTCAGATGGCTGTCCAGTTTCTTTTTGAATGCCTCTAGTGTGGGAGAGCCCACCACCTCTCCAGGCAGCTGGTTCCACTGTCGTATTGCTCTGATTTGAGGAAGGCTTTCCTAATGTCCAGGGTTGATCTTAGTGCTGGTTATACCTGAACCTTAACCCATTCCAGCTTTTTATTTTAGGCTTTGATTTTTTTCCACACTAAATCATTTTAAATGTCTGATTATTTTAAATGTCTTTTGGTGCTTTTAATCTTTCTGTGTTTGGTTGCACATCACAGAAATGTGATATATAAGAATAGCAAATAGTAATCCTTTTAAAAGTTGTTATGGCTTTAAAGATGCAATTGCAAACCTATAGGTAGTACGAATCAACTCTCAGAAAGCAGAGGGCTGCTGGTCAGGACATTGACTAGCAGGTTGAAAAAAGCTTGGCTGGTGGAAGCCACATAAGTTCCACAAAATAAGCTACAACATGTGCATTTGCATGGTATGCATAACTTAATCAAACTTCTCTTGGTTCACACTTCATTGATTCTTGGCACAGAGTTTGGATGTTTTTTTCGTGCATAATCATCTTACCTCAGTGTATCTAGTTAGCCAACTCTTGAAAATGGCTGTTGTGGTATGATCTTTTCTTGTCGTCTTCTCCCATTAGTGCCTCCAATCATCATGGTGCCGAAGGGTCAGTCCACCATCACTGTCCGTGAAGGCTCCAGAGCAGAGTTGCAGTGTGAAGTCCGAGGAAAGCCCAAGCCTCCCATCATCTGGTCCAGAATAGACAAGGAGACGCCTATGCCTTCAGGTGCCATGACAGTGGAAACCAGTGATGGCAAGCTGCATTTGGAAAAAGTGACCCGAGAAATGAGTGGGACTTACAAATGCCAGACAGCCAGGTACAATGGCTTCAACATTCGACCCCGAGAAGCCCTGGTGCAACTCAATGTACAGTGTGAGTATAGCCTTAAATCTTCATTGGCATTTGCTGCTGTAGAAGTGTGCATCAGTGCTTTGGTGATGTTGGAGACAAAGATGCACTCCTTTGGGAGTAGCACCTCTGACTGGACTGAATTCTTCTTTTCTTTGGGGACTTGGCAAAATAATGCCCATATTCATGTGCAAAGCAAGAGTACAGCTGAAATATCAAAACTCGAAACTGTCTACATATTCTAGACAATGTTGGCTTATAAAGCACAGCTCTTTCCATTATTTCACCCATTGCCTGACATCAAAGGAGCCATATTTCTTTCTCCCTGCCCCTCTGTCCTCAATATTTCCTTGCTGATGCTCAGGTTTCCAAGTTGCAAATAGGCAGGCAAGTAACTGCAGGAGTTGTGGACTCCCCCACCCCTATATTAAGAATTCTTTGGGCCATCAGCATATCAGAAATGGGTAACCTAACCTGAGTTTAGGCAGAGGAACTAGTGAAATGTAATGTTCATTAATAATTTTATGTATTTATTTTAAATAATTTTTGTTCCCTCCTTAAGGAGATCAGAGCAGTGTATGTACTTATGTGCAGTTGGACTCCATCATTCCCCCCTCCCACCCACCCCCTTTATTGTGTGGTATTGCTTCTTTGTTCTTACTGAGTACTAAGAACTTGCATATATCCCAGTACCCACTTTTAGTCCACCTTAATTCTAGTGCATTAAGGATACAATCCCAACCATGTTCACACATAAAAAAGCCTGTAACTCCCAGCAGTCCCCAGCAAGCCATGAGCTGTAGGCTTGTGTGAGCACACACAGGGTCATTCCCAAAGCCCTCTAAGTAGGACTAGAATTGGATACCATCCCTTGGCTGTCCAGATGAGTCCTTCTCATTGAGAGGACTGACTGGACTTTATTTTGAAATGCCAAGTAGAAAGGCTAACTCTGCTTATTGGGATCCTCACCCCACAGCAAATATAGTAGACTACAAACCAGTTTTTGTTTGTTAGTTGCTTGACCCAAAGCATGGACATTTCAGCCCCAGGAACAGTTCATTATTAAGGCATTCTTCTACATTTGGGATTCTTCTCAGGCAGCAGAGCATGCTGGCTTTCTACTGGGAATAGGGTGTTTGGGTCATGGCAGTGCTGAACATCCTTTGGTCAAATGCAGTTTATGGATAGTGTACTCATGATGAGGGAAGCTGTTTAATCCTGGATCCATAAAGATGTTGCTTGGTTATTCTCTGTGACCTTGGACAGCTCAAGGTATTTCAGCGTCAGCCAGAAGTCAATGTGATTCCAGCTGGCTGGCCCAGAACCAGCTCAGATCTGACCGGGGTCAGTGACAACTGCAGAGAAAAGGAAAGCCATATGCTTAGCGTGTGTGTATATTTTAAGGATGAATCTTTCCCCAGCATTCAGAGTGTTGCAGCTTTGTGCTAACATGTGTGAAGATGCACTGTTTGTAGGTGATCAAACGCTGAACCAGGCAGAATTTTTTAATATCTGCAACAGGATGAAAGTAATTTGACTCTTTTGCTCTCCAGGTCTGTGGTGAAGTCATTGCTCAATGTTATTAATGGGAGTGGTGGATTGAGATCATGTGGTGATAACTCTTTTTGCAAAAGTGGCATTACATCAGGAGAATTTAGGGACCAAATTTCCTGTGGAATGGAGATGGCTTTGGGAGTGTGAGGCTGGCAGGTGTGGGATTAAGCGAAAGAATGTTGATTTGCACCAGCAGGCCCCAGCCCTGGGCCGCCATCACCAAATTGCATGTTCATGGCATGTACACACAGCATTACTTGTTACAAACCAGTCACTCTTTCTGCTCCACGCCCCCTCCTTTTTGCTGCTGTGGAAAGCAAATCTGAAAACTTGGAGAGAGCAAAAAAATGCCCTCAGTTTTGTTATCTAGGTCCCCCCTCATAACAATATCATGCAGCAAACAAAATTAAGGATGCTCGGCCCAGATTATGAGTGGATGCTAAAAAGAACATCCACACACACACATACATGTTACTCCACTGGACCAACACAGAAAGCATGAACCAAATGCAGCACCAAAGTTACTCTCTGCAACCCACAGTTTTTCCTGCCTTAGGAAGATGTACTCACCCCACTACCGTTCTTCCCTCTCTTAAATGATTTCCTATCTCCCTTCCTAATGTTAATCAGGGTTTTACTGTATAGGTACACTAATGGGAACCACATTTCTTTGTAAACCAGGAAGTGAAACGATAATTTGAATTTGGTTTGCAGATCATGGTTGTGAAGGACTATTTGCATTAACTTTGCTTTTACACCTTTATTTTACACTGGTGGACATGACAAACAAAATCATCATTAAATACCTTCCAGGAGGGATGGCAAAAAGAATGTGTGTTCCCACAGCTACCTTCTGATTTATAAGCAGGAAATGTGCTTTATGTTTCTGGTAGATCAACAAAAGGGGCCCTTGGATCAGGGACCTGGTGAAGCCGTCCAAAGCGGCTTTTATCAGATGGCTTGTGGATTGTGCAATGGGGCATTTTCAGTCTGCCTCCAATTGCAGCTTGCCATGTGCACCATGCTGAGAACCAGTGTGGTGTAGTTGTTAAGAGCACAAAACCGGGATTCAGACAGTCTTGGTTCTAGTCCCCACTTTGGGCCAGTCACAGATTCTCAGCCCAACCTACCTCACAGGGTTGTTGTGGGGAGAAGACTGAGACCAAAAGGAGGAGAATTATGTAAGCTGCTTTGAGTTCTTTAAAAAGGAAAAAAAGGAAAAGGTAGGATAGAAATCTAATAAATAGATACACAAAGCTTCTTCCAGAAACATTTAGGGATATGGAGAGTTGTGCTATGAAGATGTGTTGAAACAAATTGCCACCGCTTTGACTTCACTGCATCAGAAATGAGGCATGATTCCAATACAAACTTGCATACAAATGCGGATTTGAGCAGGTTGAGGTGGCTTGATGTTCTCATACCTCAGTGCTGCCTCATCCTAGAGACTAAGAATTTCCTTGTTTAGGGCCAACTGCTGGATTCTCGTTGATATAGTGTATAAAAGTGAACCTTATCATTTGGAGAGTTTAGCACCACCCAAGGTTGCCTCCATGACCTCCTTGCTAAATGGGCAACCCTTCATTTATCTGTCCGTCTCCTCCTCATGTAGGAAGGCAAGCATTACAGAAGAGTATGTGGATGTTCACCGGTTAATTGAGCTGCTGCTCTCCAGTGCAAGCAGCTCATTAGCTTTGTGGCTTGCTCTGGAATTCTAATCTTGTTGGAAATGGGAATCGTGTGGTTGCTGAAGGCACTCTGATGAGAGCACAATTTTTTTCTTCCACTTGTTCTTTCCAACTGAGAATCTGCTCTGATGATGAGTGTGTGTTGTAGGTATATGTTTGTGTCTGTGCATGCTTGTGACTTGTTTTTGAACTGGCTTTCTTTTGGGGAAAGTGAATTCTGGGTGATAATTTGGTTGTTTTGCTGATTTGTTCCAAAGCTAAAGTTGCAAAAAATCAATACCGCAGATCTGATTAGATGTCAGAACATGTTTCTCTGTTTCTCTTTTTCTTCTTCTTTTTCTTTTCACCCACCAATATAGAGTTTTGTACTGTGGCACACAAGCTCCGAAATTAGCTTTGCCAGCACTATTGCAAGAAAAGGGGGAGGGCAACAGACTGCCAGTCCCTTATAGACAGATGATTGTTGCTTATTGTGAATATGTTTTGAAAATAGGAAAAACAAAGCACCTTTCATGTTGCTCCAGTAATGGGTGAAAGGTTTAGTGAAAATGGCTTTTCTCAGGGCCCCTCCATATGTTATGGTGGTTTATTTTATGCTTGCACTTAGGATTTCTGATTTCAATATGTATATCTAACAATGCAAAATGTAAATAAAACAAACATGTGCAGAAGTGTGCATAACCCAACTGCATTCATGAAAGAGCTAAGAGCTGCCGCATCTTCTTAGCAGATGTTCATTCTGCGGGCTTCTTGCAACGTAATACATGGAGGGGCGCTCAGTGTACATTGCCAAATTCTTGCCATCTTTTGGAGGATTTTCTCAGGATCCTTCAGATTCATGCCTTTGAATGTCCTGACACAAGAAAGGAAAAGAATGGCAGATCATAGTCACAGAGCAACTCCACAAGTTATGATTTTAGATGTGCACTGAAAAGAAACCTTAAGAATGTGTGAATGGTACAGTGGAACATGAGCAAACCAAATGTCATGGAGGTATGTTCAGAAGGCACCAGGTGGTTCCCTCTGGAATATTGCAACCTGTGTTTGCCATCATGTAGTGTGTTCAAATAGAGCCTCTGCACTAAGGCCCAAATACTTCATCCTTTCCCATCTGGTCCAGGTTCCCAACACCTGTGTTGTGCAGCTTCTTCTATCCCTTCCCCTGTTGTGTACCATGCATGATTTCTAGTCACTATCTTGCCCTAGGATTCATAACTATTGATTTTATGGATTGTGATGATTTTATACTGGTTGATATTGTTCTTATGTGGTTTTTAATGTTGTAATCCTCCCAAGAAGCCATGTGGCTAATGGGGTATGCTAGAAATCTATTTAATTAATTAATTAATTAATAACCAACCAACCAGGATGCTTGGTGCTTTAAATTTATTATGCTTTTGTATTTTAGCTGTTTTCTATTTTATAAAAATGTAGTGTATCATCCTGGGTCTTTAAGAGAAGGCCAACAAAGAAATTTTATTAATAGTAGTAGTAGTAATTCTTCCTAATCCCTGTTTTAAATCTGACTCATTTTCCTGCTAGGTGCTCCACAGCATCTGGATTAAATGGAGGGTCATGTCAAACTGAAACATCTATTAGAATTTGGGAAGTGGCTTAAATAATAATTAAATAAAATTAGCAAAATACCTAAAAGATACCTAAAGGAACATCTTTTTCCGCTACATGCTCTCCCGCCCCTTAAGAACTTCAATAGAGGCCCTGCTCTGGGAACCCTCCTTGAAGGATATTAGGAGACAGAATACCCAGAGGAGGGCCTTCTCT